AAAAAAGTTTTAAAATGTATCTTCCTTATTCTAGGAACCCAAAAGAATGTCAGAATGCCAAGAACAGTTAACAAACACAATCAAATGACCTACATTTATGTTTATTTGAAAAGTAAATAGTTGAAAGTCCTCTAATTATGCTGGAAATCTTTTGGTATACTTAAGTTATTAAGCCTCCGCTGGCACTGTGGGAGGCCCCTTACCACAGGGGCAGAGAGCCACTGAAATTCCATTAGGGCCCCTCTTCTAGTTGTGGTCTGGGGCCTGAGGGGTACAGGCCCATCTCATAGATGATAGGAACACAGGGGTCGCTAGTACTGGGAGGGTTTATTTTGTGGGGAAGTGGTGACAAGTGACTGTCTGCACTTCCTGTTTATTCTTCTGAAAATAGAGACACTCCCAGTGCCTTTGCTGGTCTCCTCCTGCATTCCCTCCACCTTGGGCCAGTCTCCCGTTGTTCTCACAGGCCTGGGGAGGACAGGAGTGTTCGGAGGTGGGGGTGTGTGGAGTGTGCTGGGAGCGGATTTTGACTGGATTTGGATTCCTCCACTGTGAGTACTTCATTCTGGGGACTGCTGTTATTCTTAAGTGGGCAAAGCATTAAAGTGAAAGTTACAGTGACATCTCTTACCCATCCAAGGGGAAAACCTGCACAGCGTGTAACAGTAGATAGCCCTGGACAGAGGAGGGATAAGTCTAGTAAATGCAGAAGGAAAGGAACCTGCAGATGTGAGGGCTATGGGCGTGGGGGGCCTGGGTTTGATCCCTGGTCAGTGAGCTAGATCCCAGGAGCCACAACTAAGAGTTCACATGCTGCAACTAAATGTCCTGCATGCCACAACTAAGATGTGGCACAGATAAAGGTACATTTATATCTTAGAAAAGGCACAGTCCACTGAGTAAAAGACAACCCTCAGAACAGGAAGACATGTTGGCAAATAATGTATCTGAATGAGGGATTAATATCCAGATAAAGAGAGAACTGAAAGTCTACAACTAGAAACAAACCACCCAGCGCAAAATGAGCAAAAGACTTGAATAGATATCTCTCCAAAGAAGGCATATGAATGATGATTAAGCAAGTGAAAAGACGCTCAACATCACTAATAATGGGAAGCACTAATCAAAACTACAGTGAGCTACCAGCTCACATCTATCAGGATGGCTATTACCCCCAAACCAGAAAACAGGTGTTGGTGTGCATGTGGAGAAACCGGAACCCCTATTCCCTGTTGGTGGGAATGTAAAATGGAACAGCCACTGAGGAAAACAGTATGGGGCTTCCTCAGAAAAATAAAAAATACAGTTACCATGTGACCTAGCAATTGCATTTCTAATTTCATACTCAGGAATTAAAAGCAGGGTCTCAAAGAGCTGTTTGTCTCTCATGCTCACAGAAGCATTATTCACAATAGTTTAACGTGGAAGAAACCCACATGTTCATCAACTGATGAGTGGAAAAGCAAAATGTGGTAGTCATAGAATGAACTGTCATTCAGCCTTAAAGGAAGAGTAAATTGTGACGTAGGTTACAGCATGGATGAAGCTTGGAAGGCATTTTGCTCAGTCACTGAAATAAGCCTGTACAGAAGGACAAATACACTCTAATATCACTTATATGAGGTACTCAGATTTGTCAAAATCATAGAGGCAAAAAGTGGTGGTTGCCAGGTTTGAGGTAGGGGAAATGGGGAGTCAGTGTTTAACAGGTAGAGTGATTCAGTTTTATGAGGTGAAGTTACAGGGGTGGATGGTGGTGGCTGCTGATGATCCTGCACGACAGCAGGAGCATATTTAATGCCAGTGAGCTGAACACTTAAATGGTCCCAATGCTAAACTATTCTTTTTATAATTTTATTTGTTTATTTGGCTGTGCTGAGTCTCCATGGCTGTGCTGGCTTTTCTCTAGTTGTGGAGATGGGGGTCTACTCTCTCATTGTGGTGTAAAGACTTCTTATTGTGGTGGCTTCTCTGGTTGCGCCCCTGGTTCTAGGCGCAGGCTCAGTAGTACGGCACATGGACTTGGGGACTCTGCGGCATGTGGGATCTTCCCGGATCCAGGATCCAACCTGTGTCTCCTGCATTGGCAAGTGGATTCTTTACCACTGAATCAACAGGGAAGCCCCTACACTGCTAAATTTTATGTTATATGTGTTTGAATACATTAAAAAAATGTGGAAAATGTGGCACTAAATAAACCGTGAAAAGCACACAGTTCACAGTGTGAGCTGAACAGGTAGGCAGAGCAGCGCCTACTCTGCCTCGGCGGGAACGTGCGTTGGCAACCTGTGCGTGTCTACAGATAGCCGTGAAAACGCTGTTACAGATAAACTGGTCACAAACAGAACCTGCACATGACGCGGTGGATCGTGCGTGGAGTCCTACAACACAGGCTGCTTTCATACACGAGGCCTTCCTTCCCATCTGTACTGCAGGCTGGACCCCAGAGCGCTTCACTTCTTCTTGTGGCTGAATAAAACCTTAGTGGGCAGATACACCGAATTTCATTTATCTGTTTATCCACCATCAATGTACAGAAAGTTATGAAGTAGATGACAAAGCAGGTGTGATTACAGTAAAATCATAGAAATAGCACTTCTGTGACCCAAAGCTCAGAGCCCATGCTGTGGGAAAGGACGTGGGGTTGGAGTGTTCCCTCCAGGACTCTCAGGCCCCCAGGAAGGCCGGCCCCATCACAGGGCTGGTGGGCCTTTCCTGAGCACGGTGGGCATCAGGGTGGTGCTGCTTCCCGCCTGCCGTCCGGAGAAGCGCAGCTACCCCTGCCTCTCCCGGCGATGATTAGACGGAATCGAGGGGCCAGGCTTCCTACACCGTGGGAACATTCTCCTCTTGAAGCCTGACAACCCAAGGTGGGCTCCCCCACAAAACCGGAGAGAAGGGTAGGCTCAGGGGACGCCGGGCCGTGAGAGAGTGCTGGGGGCTGGTGAGCGCCCCCTGCGGTCAGGGTCCCTGAGAGAGACCTTCGAGATGTGAATGCCCCCTGCTGTTAGGGTCCCTGAGAGAGTGCTGGGGGCGGGGGTGAGTGTGCCCCCTGAGGTCACCGAACAGAAAGGCAGCGGCTGGAGGCGAAGCCCCCGTGCTGGAAACGCTTACAAGAGGGTTAGAGCCTTGAGGCAGCTGGTAATCTTTGGGCCACTTCCGTGAGGCCAGGGAAAAAGCAGAAGTACAAAGGACAGGATGAGCCCACACGCCGAGCAGCGGAGCCCCGCGGGCAGCGTCCCGCCTCCCCTGGTGAGCCGATGGCACAGGTGTGTTACAAGGGCGCCCATAGTGCCTCCCACCCTCCTGCACGTGCCAGCGGCACAGAGACCCGTTCCCGTGTGCACGTGTGCACGGCTTCACACCCACACCTCACTTTCTGCTCCTCGGGAGACGACGCCACGACCTGGGATGGCCGGCAGAGCTGTGGACCTGGGATCTGGACCACATACTAGCCCTGGGAGCAACTGACGATACAACACGGAGAAGCCAGAATAAAGCGATGGGAGGATGGCGGGGATGCAGGTTAATCATCAGGCCTGGCTGAGAGGGTCGCAGGAGAACAGGCACGCAGACGTGAGGGGCAGTGGGTGCAGGTGTAGCCACACAGAAGGAGGGGCCGTGGAGGGCCCGAAGCCCCGGCGACTGCACAGGAGCGCCTGCGCCTGCCCCACCCCCGTCACCACGAGGAAGTGGCAGCTGTGTTGACTTTTCGGGACCAGCAGCAGGACACCCTGGCTCAGCCAGGGCCGCAAATGCAGCGCTTCTGATCTGGTGCCAGAGAACCAGATCGAGGTGAGGTCAGCGGCCCCCCTGCGGGCCCTCCTCCACGTCCCCTTCAACACCGCACACACGAGACCAGACCTGGCCGACGCTCAGCGCGCTCTGCATGTGTGGCCCTCTCGCCACAGGACAACTGGTGGCGAGCGATGTAAGAACACTGTCAGTCAAGCAGGGACTCAGGTGGAGGAGAGAGAACCAGGTCCCTGGCCCCACGCCAGCAACTCTGGGCTACGTCCCGGAGGGCCTTTAGCCCGCGCACTGCTGCTGCTTCCGGTCTCCGGGAAGAGCCCACAGCCCCATGGAGGAAAGCCAGTCTCCCTCCTCCCCAGACGGTGGAGACCGCAGAAGCGAACACGGTGAGCAGGTGCTCCCGCCCACCACACTGCTCCCCCAGGGTGGCGCAGAGGCCCCTCAGGCAAGGAGGGACAGTCACCACATGGGAACTGGAAAGCGCCCTAACCCACACCAGGCCTCCCCTTCTAGTGTCCTTCTCTTCAGGACGGTATTTAGAATTGTTAAGCTTCTCCCAAGTCCAGAGACAAGAAAACAAGTCTAATGTGCAACTCTGAGGAGTAAATCCACTGGAATGCCCCCACCTCAGCCATTAACCTGTGTTAGCGATTTATTTTCACATAAATTATACTGCTGTTACAGGCCTTCAGAGCTAAAAACCAACCAAAGTTATAATCTAAAGCTTACATTTTTTTTCCAACGCTAAAAAGACAGTGGAAAACATATACTAACAACCTTTACTTTAATTCTTGGGTTACAGGCTAATGACTCCAGTTAAAAACTGAAAATATTGATGTCATTTTTCCTCAGTATTTAAAAATCATGAGTCAGCACAATTTCAGGTGGAAAATGCAGTTTAAATATTGTTAAGAATATTTTCTAAGAAATTAATGTTGACCAAATCGATCTTAATTTCTTCAGTCTCTCATCAAAGGCTAGAAAACACAGTAAGTGGGATGGGAGGAGGGGAGGGAGGCTCAAGACGAGGGGATATATATATATATATATATATATGTATATATATAATTTGTGTTCTTGTATGGCAGGAACCACACAGCATTGTAAAGCAATTTTCCTCCAATTAAAAAATAAATTATAAAAAGAAATCAGAATAACATGGTTCTGAAATGACAGACAAAATTGGAAAGTGTATTTATTTTTTAAATGAGCGCCAAGCAGGAGCATGGGCTCAGCCTCTTGAGTACCTCGTTTCTGGATGAAAACCCTGAGTAGGGGGTTTGCGCTGGAGACGGCCTTGCAGAAGTTGTCATCGTTGTTGATGGGCAGCAGATCACCATGCACGTCCGCATAGCCGATGGTCACCTCGGTGTTGGTGATGTGGTGGGTGTGCATGACAAGCTTGTAGAAGTCTTCAAACCTCCCAGGCTTCTGGCGGTCCAGAGAGAACCTTCGGAACTCAGCTCCAAACTAGGAGGAAACATAGAGGGCACGTGAACAGCAGGGATGGGCATCGGAGATGAGGCGTCATGACTGGGCCTCCCGGAGGCCTGGACATAGCTGCATCAGCACCCCAGTCCTCGTGGAGCCCACGAGAGAAGGTAGATGGCAGCATGGGGGAACAGTTCACGCGCATGGACCCCTGTCCTGCAAACCCCAGGAGAGGTGTGCAGCTCAGGCTGTAGGGTGGCGGACCCTGCCTCACTGGGGATCCTGGGGCATCCCCAGGCTGGGGCACAGTATGTGCACAGCCCGGGACAGCCATCAAACACTCAGAGGTGCGAGTGAAGCAAGGGCCAGCTGCAACTTCTGAACTCTCCCCTAAGGGGAATGGGAAGTCCTGGGCAGTTTTAATATTAAGGAAGGAAATGACTGGATATGATTTGCATTTTAAAAACACCAAATGGCTGCACTTCAAAAGGATCAGAAGTGGCAGCAAAATTGAAAGAAGAAAAGAACCTGGTAAAAACCATGCTTCACAAACCTCTGGGAGGCAGGAGCATGGGTTCTGGCTAAAAAGACAAAGCAGGTCCCTTTAAAAAAGATGCAGCTCACTGCCCTGCTCTGGGAAACATGCCGGGCCCACCTCTTTCCTGTCAGCCTCTGGCTCTGGCTCAAATGCCCACAGTGTTGCCTGCAGATCTCCAGCCCACCTGCTAGGCGTACCCTGGGTCACCTCCCACAGGCTGACCTGTCCAGTGATCTAAGGACACCGCCTATTTGTTTGGCCTGAGGCTGCTGGCTTAGGACACGCTGTTGTTCCTCACTTGGCAAAAGGGAACTTTATTCATCAGGCAGGACAGACTTTGTGTTCTTCTATATAACTGAAAACTAATTACATTGGTTCCAAAACACACAAAAATGAAATGTCTAATGTTTACATAAAACTAATAGTTACATCACCTAGACATTATGTGAACTACAAGGGCAATGCAACTCAAACCATGCAGGTGTGAGTGGCTCTAAAATTTGGGGAGGCATCAGTCATGGAGGACCTCCGAGTTCTGGAACTGGCTTATTTGGAATGCAGCCCAAGAATGTGCATTTTTCACAAGTTCCCAGGAGAAGCTGATGCTGCTGGTCTGGGAATCACAAAGATAAAACCACTGACTTAAAGGGAATATCTCCAGGCCTCAACTTACACAAATCTCTGAGAAAGAGTGTCAGATCCCATTTCCCTTTTAAAAAGCAAAGGAAAACACCATTCTTCATTGCCCCTGGAATAAAAAATTTCAAGTTTGGGAAAAGCCACCTTCAGTGGCTAATTAAACTAAAACCTGCTCCACATGCTGAGGTCCAGGGGCACGCTCTCCTCTCCTCTATCCCCTTGCCCTCTCCCCATTACATCTCAATATTTTCTCCAAGCATACACACATGAGCAGGCTGCCAGGCTGCCAGGGAGCAAGGCACACCCCCTCTTACACACAGGGAGACACCCTGGGCTGGCAAAACTTTTCAAGACACGAGATCAAGCAGACAACACAAGTTTAATGTGATTTCTTTCATAATCAGTTATCTAGTCACATCATGATGTTTATTTCAATAACAGTCACCCATCATCTTTCCTGTTTGATATCTTACATATGCTAATTTCCAGAGCAATTAGTTTTTATCAGCACTTGCCTCATTTTCACTAAATACACAAGAAGAGTTTAATCATATCTAATGAAACCAGTAAGAATATTTTTGACTTTTACCTATAATTCTCAGTCAAATATTCCCCCAAACTGGACACAACACACTCACTTCCCTCCAAGGGACATCAGACATCTTGTCCCTCTCCCCACTACTAGCCTTAGGCCACATCTTATAATTTAAGTGATGAGAAGCAGCATGTATTAGATAGGTTAGTTCTGCAGTTTTATAGTCCTGACTGTGCTTGGTATTAATCTCAGATGAAATCCAATTTGTTTCATAGTTCTTTTAGTACTTTTCCTCAAAATACATGTTAATTGGAAATGCAGATGAATTCTGACTTTTTCCTGACAGAAAGCAAGTCTGGTTTGTGTTTGATAAAGAGGCTGGCCTTGTCAATCCAGCTATATGTTGGCTATGCTTCACATGCTGAATGAGTTCCAAAGTTGGGCAAAAAGAAGTGTGAAATGTGAGATGATAAAAGCATTTTTTTCAAACATTTTTTTACTGTGGCAAAATATACATAAAATTCACCATTTTAACCATTCTTAAGTGTACAGTTCGGTGGCATTAAGTACATTCACACTGCTGTACAACCAATGCCACCATCATCTGCCTTCACTGTTTACCTTATAAAACTAAAACTGCTCCCATCAAGCAGTAACTACCATTTCCTGGCTCCCTGACCCTGCAACCACCGCTGTGCTTTCGCTTTTTCTCTCTCTCTACATGTGTATAGATTTCTCTCTCTCTCTCTCTCTCTCTCTATATATATATATATATATATATATATACACACACACACACACATATAATTCCTTATCAGATACATGATTTGTAAACCTCTCCTCCCATTTTGTCTTTTATTCTGTGGTGCTGGGTGGGAAAGATAGACTTTTGATACAGTTGTGTAACTTACTTCCTAATCTAGGCCAGGCACAGTAATGCAAGTTTTTCTTAAAACTTTCCTTGAAATTGGTAGCTGTTTTACAGGTTTGATTATGGAATAATGTAACAGATGACAGGGTGAAGCTCAGCAGCTACCCTTTCATGAGTCCTGCTGTGGAGACACAGTCCACAGTGAGATGTTGAACACCTTAGGATGTGAGTCTCCAGTGAATTTCAGTTTTGGTTCAGGTATTCCATAGGGATCCCTCTCCCCTAATGCAGTGGTCTTCATATGTGACATATCCCATCAAGAATTTTGGAAAACCTACCGGTATAAAAGGGATAATACACCTTTAAGTTGGCATCTCAATTTTTCATAATAAAAACAAATAGTTGCAAAGGATATAATTTCCAGCTGTGCTGTGCTCAGTCACTCAGTCGTGTCCGACTCTTTGTGACCCCATGGACTGTAGCCTGCCATGCTTCTCTGTCCAAGGGATTCTCCAGGCAAGAATACTGGAGTAGGTTGCCATGCCTTCCTCCAGGGGATCTCCGTAACCCAGGGATAGAACCCAGGTCTTCCGCATTGCAGGTGGATTCTTTACTGTTTGAGCCACCAGGGAAGCCCTAATTTCCAGCATGCTGTCAATATTTTATTTAAAAATAAATATCTTATCATATGATCTTTTAAATATAGTCAATGAAATCTAAATGTCATAGTCATTTGATACTACCATCATGCATTTTAAAATAGAATGAACGAGCTCTTTTATAACAATAAAAAAATCCAACAAGGTTCTTTTTTCTCTTTGATCTCTGGTTTCCATTGCACTGCCACAAGAGAATTTAATACTGATATTTTATCCTATTAATTTATGCTTGGTTACCCTATCACTCTTCTCTACAACAAAATTAGATAAATTGAAGTTAAACATTACCCCTGAGGCCATAAGTCTCTCTTTGTGAAAATATTTCAAAGTTGTTTCTATTGGGTATAGAGTTTTAGTTTTGAAAAAATGGAAAGTGTTCTGGAGTAGATGCACAACAATGTGAATGTAATTAACACTACTAAACTGTACAGTCAGTTTCCCTGGTAAAGAATCCACCTGCAATGTGGGAGACCTGGGTTCCATCCCTGGGTTGGGAAGATACCCTGGAGAAGAGAACGGCTACCCACTCCAGTATTCTTGCCTGGAGAATTCCATGGACAGAGGGGCCTGGCCGATTACAGTCCATGGGGTCGCAGAGAGTCGACATGATTGAGCTACTTCCACTTCACTTCACTTCAAACTATACGCTAAAAAATGGCTGAGATATTAAATTTTATGCATGTGTATTTTATCACATTTATAAATCAAGTAATGTAAAAAAAAAGATTTTTACAGTAAAGTTTCTAGATTGAGTCTTTGCAATTATTAAATCAAATTGGAACATAGTTATAAGATTTGACAAATGATTATTAGTCTTCCAAAGTAAACATTATAAAAATCTTCAGTTTAATGAGAAGTATTGATTGCTAAATGTGGCACGGGTAGCACTGATTCTTCTGCTGCTTCTCATTGTCATGGTATTGGTACTGAGAGGCCTTTCATGTGACAGGAGGAGACAGCAGTGAGAGCTCTGAAGGCACAAAGATGCTCAGCTTGTGAGTCTCACCAAGTCTTGTGCCAGAAATATCCATAGAGCAGCCTAAGATTGGAATTATTTCAACAGTCTATTAGACGACAGTTCAGTTAGGACCACATTCAAGTCTGCTGAAAACAGATTTGGAAAGTATGTGACTTGGAAGATTTATTGCCCAGTCATTATAGCCATTCACTTTTTCAATTTCTTGTAATTATACCAAGAATTATATGGCAATGAATTGTGCCAGCTAATTCCTTCATTTAGAGGAAACGTGTGTGATCTGATCTAATGGAAAAGTAAAAATATAAAATTAAAAAATAAAATGGTTTTGTCATATTGAAGATGGACCCTTCCCTAACACCATTATAAAAAATTAACTCAAAATGGATCCATGGCCTAAATATAAGACATAAAATTATAAAATTCTTGGGCAAAAACATAGGGCGAAAATTTCAGGACACTGAGTTTGGTGATGATTTCTTGATATGACACCAAAGGCACAGGTAACAAAATTAAAAAAAAGACAGTAGAATTCTTAAAAACCTAATTTTATTCATCAGAGGACACCATCCACAGAGTAAAAAGGCTTTGAAAAGTGGTGAGCACAGTCCTACCTTTGTTCCAGCAGAATCCTAAGAAGGTCAAGTGCCTTGCGTAAAATGCTGCAATATTTGAATGTAACCTACACACACACTCCATACCCCCATACTTTAAATCAACTCCAGTTCAGTTCAGTCACTTAGCCATGTCTGACTCTTTACAACCCCATGGACTGCAGCATGCCAGGCCTCCCTGACCATCACCAGTTCCCGAGTTTACTC